TTGTATGCTGACATTTTTTGTATTTCTTAGTTGTTTATTTGTTGGGTCCCCAATGCTTTCGAAGCGCTTTCCAAACCGAATTCAATCATAAACACAATAACCAAATTTTAGTTTTCCACCGGACGATTTGATGACCTGTTGAAATTATCTGAAATTAAAACAAGTGAACAAGCTGTAAGTTCGGCTGGGCCGAACTTTGAATACCCTCCACCATTTGGAACGAATTTGGCAATTTTCAAAAAATAAAATCCGTTAAAAATTCTGTTAAAATCTAAAAAATATCGAATGAAGCCGTTATATTAGACGACTGTGGACCTGTATATGCAACTTTTATCACAAATTATTACAATATTCAAATGCGAAACTTGAAAATAAAAATCTGTTTAAAATGTAGCTAAAATCATCAAAATACCGAATTAGGGAGGTACCATGGGGGCTATAAAATGTAGACCTGCACAGACAATTTTCTGTCACAGGCTGTAGTATCCATTACGAAACCAAATAAGAAACAATTCCGGTAAAAATGTAGCTAAAATCATCAAAATACCGAATATAGGGGGTACTGTTATATGGGGGCTATACGAAGACGTGGACCTATAATTACAATGACTCGCCACAAGAACTAGAACACCCACAAATACCAATTTTTAGACAAATCAGAGAAAAAATTTGGCAAAAACCATCAAAATACCGAATATCGGAAGGTACAGTTATATGGGGGCTATACCAGAACGTGGACCGATATATCACATTTTCACTTTATGGTGTCTACGACGAATATTTAAGGATGTTACAAACGGACTGACAAAGTTAATATACCCTCCTTTCCAAGGTGGAGGATATAAAAAGTGTAAGAACTTACACCGCAACAGAAAGAAAATAGACTCAAAAGAACTACAGAGTTCCTTCGCTTGGCCGAAAGTGGTGAACTGCCGAATTTGGTTTTCTCCGATAAGAAAACATTCGTTGTCCAGCAGTTTTTAAACGAAGAAAATGATAGTGTTTACTTGCCAAAGAGGTCAGCTGAAATTGTGCACCTTCGATTGTCCACCAGAACTCAAGCGCCGACCATGGTTTTGGTGTGGGCCGCCATAACAGCCTATGGTCGCATTCCGCTCGTATTAATCGACCGTGTCATCAAAATAAATAACGAATATTATCGCGAAAATATTCTGGAGAGTGTATTAAAGCCTTGGCCACGCAAACATTTTGGCCGCAGACCTTGGACATTCCATTAGGACTCAGCAACAAAAATGAGGTTCCTCGCTTCATTTCCAGCGCACAATGGTGACAAAAATTTCCGGATACCAATCCGTTAGACTATTGTGTCTGAAGTATTTTCGAAATCAAGGTTGGCACTAAAAATACCAAAGTGTCGATCACCCCAAGCAAGCGCATCGCCAGGAATAGGCCAAAAATACCGCAGAGCAACATTCGGGCACTTTCATTGGCCGTTTGAAGGCCACAATTCGTGCCAAAGGTGACCAATTTGAACAAATCTAAACATATTCTAAAAGTTGATGCTATTTCCGACATTAGAAGGGAGTATCCGATTTGATCCAAACTTGGTACATCATATGGGCTATATCAGTCCACTCCTTCTGGTACCTCCCCCACAAAGGGTCAAAATTTTGAATATTCATGTAGCTCATAAATCGCAAAATTAACATCCGCTTCCATTCAGACTTGACACATCTCAATATTTCCATCAACAAAAGATCTGTTATAAAGATGTAGAGATCACACCATTTCTTCTGGTATCTCCCATACATAGGGTTCAAGACTTTAAAAACAAAATGTTTAAAGAAAGCGAAATAAATATCCAACTCTCTTCAAATTCCACACATACAAACATTTTTTTTAACACAAGATTTTTTGTGAAAATTATATACATCTGCCAACCCATTTTGGTACCTCACCCACAAAGGATCACAATTTGCAATACTTATATCTAACATAACTTGCAAAAAAAATCAGCGATTCTTTACAACTAGCTGTATCTGAATATTTCTCTTAACCAGAAATCTGATATGAATATGTAATTTATCGGAATTTATGATTACGCGAAAAATCGGATGTAAATGTACGACTTCCTTCAAATTTTGCACATACCAATATATTTATCTGTATTAGATGAAGTATGAAAATGGAACACTTCGGTCCGCTATATCTGTTACCTCACGCATATTTCCACATTTTCCAAAAAATTTGCACATATCTCATATAGAGTATGGGAAGTAGTCGATATAGCCCACATCTGGCAAGTTGTAATATTTATATCTGTCTTACGTCACATACGAATCGGTCTGATCAGATATCATTATTGGCCAACTGCTTCGGAACCTCCCCCCAAAAAGTGACAGCAGTTTGAATAATCATAAGTCAAGGTTGGCAAAACCGACTGATGCTCTTTTCCTTTTTTTACCCTACACCACAAGGTGGTCAGGGTATTATGTCTTTGTGCATTTGTTTGTAACAGGCAAAAGGAAACGAGATAGAACCATAGTTCCTTTTGATGATCTGCATAGAATCACATTCTGAGTCGATTTATGCATGTCCGTCCTTCCGTCTGTCCATGTATTTTTGTAAACAAAGTACAGTTCGCATTTATTGCCCTATCCAGATGAAATTTTGCACAGATCATTTGCTTGGCCCAAGGACGAACCCTATTGAAATTGGAGATAATCGGTAAAAATTTAGATATAGCTCCCATATATATCATCGTCTGATTTGCCTTTTATTGTGCACCAAACGTGTAATATCAGACCGAATAGTATGGAATTTTGCACGTACGATCAGATTGGACCTGAAAATAAGTATGCCAAACTTGATCGAAATCGGTTAAGATATAGCTATAGCTCCCATATATATTGTTCATCCGATTTGTTATTTGTGTCCTCCGCAGCCGTAATATGCACTCTGTAACAACAATATTTGGGGAAATATATCAAGTACAGCTCAGAAATACATTTGCTAAATTTTATCGAGATCGGTTCAGATTTGGATGTACCTCCCATATATAACTTCGTCCGATTTACTTTTCATTGTGCACCAAACGTCTAATATTTGCCCAAATGGGATGAAATTCGGCACCTGCGACCGAATTGAGTCTAGAAGCTACTATGTCAAATTTGGTGAAGATCGGTTCAAATATAGCTATAGCTCCCATGTATACTGTTCATCCGATTTGTTATATTCGTTACCCACAGCCGTAATATGCACTCCGTAACAACGATATTCAAGGAAATATATCAAATACAGCTCAGAAATAACTTTGCCAAATTTTATCGAGATCGTTTCCGATTTGGATATTGCTCCCATATATATTTTTTATCCGATTTCAAATTAATTGTGCACCAAATGGGCAATACAAGTCCGAATTTAAAAGATACAAATGCTTCGGCATATTTGGTCCTTTGAACTTTAAATTATAATTATAATAATGGCGTGTATGATTGAATTCTCCTATTAAAACGTTTAATTGTTATGCGGAGCTCTACTAAATTAGCAAAGTGGTGTAGGGTATCATAAAGTCGGCCCCGCCCGACTTTAAGACTTTCTTTACTGTTTTAATTAGAGTTAGACATGAATTAAGATACAATTATATTGAGTTTAGAAATTCTATAAATACTTCAAACCATGCTTGACCGTGCACTGAAATCTGTTGACCTCTTTGCAAATAATTGTCTACGAAAAGGAACGTGGATTATTCAAAGAATATTTTTTCAAGACCAAAAGTAACGTGGATTTTCGAAAAATATTTTTCAAGGACCAAAAGGAACGTGGATTTTAGAAAAATATTTCTGCTCAGACCAGAATGAACATGGATTTTTCATAGAATATTTTTTCAAAGACCAAAATAAAGTGGATTAATTACAGAATATGTTTTCAAGGACCAAAAGTAGCGTAGATTATTAAAAAGATATTTTTTGAAGGACCAAAAGTAACGTGGATTATTCACAGAATATTTTTTCAAGGACTACAGGTAACGTGGATTATTCACAGAACATTTTTTCAAGGACTACATGTAACGTGGATTATTCACAGAATATTTCTTCAAGGACCAAAAGTAACGTGTATTTTTTTTTGTTTTAGCAAATAATTGTCTATGTAGTGATATTACTTTTTGTGAAATAATCATTTTAATTCTGGAAGTAAAATTTCAATCGATAACCTAAAATGCGTTTTTCTCGAAACTAATTTTTTTTGAGGTGTAATACTCTTTGAGTGTATGAACGATATGTATTTAATGGAATGGACCTCCAAAATATTTTGAGATATCATGCAGTTATCAATACTTTCCATTTTTCCAATTATCCGACATTAAGTACTATTTTTGCATTTTTAGCATTATTTTACAAAAATTGCTTCCATACTTCAACTCATTTACCAACATTACCAGCCAAGCCAATACCTTTCGCCAGCAGTAGAGAACGAGCTGAACTATTTCCCCTTTTTATAAAGGAAAACTCTTCACAGTTAAATAATTATAGCAAACATGTCCCAAGGTCAAATTAAACAAGAGTAGAACAAAAAGAAAAAAAAAGAAAATTGAAATCAGTGAAATTAATTAAAAACGTGGTCGTAATCCATTTGGTAATTTCATTAAAATTATCCGAGTGTCACACAATAATAGAGTAATAATTGAATATGGCTGTGACAATATCTGCATCTCGACTTGCCGCAGGCCAACTAATCCTTGGTAATCCCATCATTTTTAATCAACTGTTTGTGAAAACAATTTCACATTTTTTTTTTTCGTTGTCTCTTCTGTTTGTGTCATTTAACTTTTAATGTCATGATGGTATGTCCGGACACTCGGCATTCCACACAATGGTTACACTCATCATTAGGGACGGCGACAAAGCCAACTAATCCCACCATTAAGCTTTGCACATCTAATTTCGCTCCAATATTAATCGTAACATTTAATTTGTTTTTCTCTCTCACTCTCGTTCACACTCTCGCTCACACTCTCTATCTTTTATTTGTTCTTACAGCTTGCCGCTATGAAAAAGGCTCCTGGTCCGAATGTGCCACCGGTCAAATGACACGCGCCGACAAATTAAAAGCAACAAGCGATCCATCGTGCGAAGCAACACGCGTCATCAAGAAGAACTGCAAACCTGGCAAATCCAAGGATAAGACTGCCAAGGAACAACGTAAAAACAAAGATAAAGGTGAGTCAGTGAGTCAGTCAGTTTGTCTGTCAGCCAGCGTGTCCATGAATGACAATGATATGCCTGCCGCCGTCCAGTCGTCATTGCCATATCTGGTGACCCTGCTCGCCAGTAATACGCTTAAGCAGTTAATTAAGTTAAGAATGAAATTACCTTAAAGTGTCAGTGAAACGGAAACCAGTGTCCTTAGAGGTGGTATAGAGAAAAGGATGCTGGTAAATTAAGGAAATTATTTATCAACGTAGGCTGGCTGGTATTTTAATTTGCTTCAATGTAAATTGGAAAAATTTAATATAAAAACTGTGGCGTTGTTGCCTACGCGAAAGTCTTGTTAGTTATATCAATTCTAATTTAATCGGCTTACATGCCATAATCGCTTGTGATCTTTTAAATTAATTGGAAATGAAAGATATAAAAATTATAGTAAAAAATTAGGAAAAATAGGTTCTATTGGAGAATAGGCAAAATTGACTATAATTTAAAATTATTTACTTCTTCTTAAAAATAATTGGTAAATAATTGGTTCCTATTCGCCCACCAAAGGACAAATAAACGTTGCTTTTTTAAAGAATATTTTTTCAAGGACTAAAGGACAAATAAACGTGTATTTTTAAGGATTTTTTCAAGGACCAAAGGACAAATAAACTTGGATTTTTAAAGAATATTCTTCAAGGAATAAAGGACAAAAAACGTGGATTTTTAAAGAATATTTTTTTAAGGAACAAAGGACAAATAAACGTAGATTTTTTAAAGAATATTTTTTCGAGGACCAAAGGACAAATAACCGTAGATTTTTTAAAGAATATTTTTTCAAGGACCAAAGGACAAATAAACGTGGATTTTTAAAGAATATTTTTTCAAGGCCCAAAGGACAAATAAACCTAGATTTCTTAAAGAATATTTTTTCAAGGACCAAGAGACAAATTATGGTGGATTTTTAAAGAATATTTTTTCAAGGACCAAAGAACAAATAAACTTAGATTTTTTAAAGAATATTTTTTCAAGGACCAAAGGACAAATAAACGTGGATTTTTAAAGAATATTTTTTCAAGGACCAAGAGACAAATTATGGTGGATTTTTAAAGAATATTTTTTCAAGGACCAAAGAACAAATAAACTTAGATTTTTTAAAGAATATTTTTTCAAGGACCAAAGGACAAATAAACGTGGATTTTTAAAGAATATTTTTTCAAGGACCAAGAGACAAATTATGGTGGATTTTTAAAGAATATTTTTTCAAGGACCAAAGAACAAATAAACTTAGATTTTTTAAAGAATATTTTTTCAAGGACCAAAGGACAAATAAACGTGGATTTTTAAAGAATATTTTTTCAAGGACCAAGAGACAAATTATGGTGGATTTTTAAAGAATATTTTTTCAAGGGCCAAAGAACAAATAAACTTAGATTTTTTAAAGAATATTTTTTCAAGGACCAAAGGACAAATAAACGTGGATTTTTAAAGAATATTTTTTCAAGGACCAAGAGACAAATTATGGTGGATTTTTAAAGAATATTTTTTCAAGGACCAAAGAACAAATAAACTTAGATTTTTTAAAGAATATTTTTTCAAGGACCAAAGGACAAATAAACGTGGATTTTTAAAGAATATTTTTTCAAGGACCAAAGAACAAATAAACTTAGATTTTTTAAAGAATATTTTTTCAAGGACCAAAGGACAAATAAACGTTGATTTTTTAAAGAATATTTTTTCAAGGCCCAAAGGACAAATAAACCTAGATTTCTTAAAGAATATTTTTTCAAGGACCAAGAGACAAATTATGGTGGATTTTTAAAGAATATTTTTTCAAGGACCAAAGAACAAATAAACTTAGATTTTTTAAAGAATATTTTTTCAAGGACCAAAGGACAAATAAACGTGGATTTTTAAAGAATATTTTTTCAAGGACAAGAGACAAATTATGGTGGATTTTTAAAGAATATTTTTTCAAGGACCAAAGAACAAATAAACTTAGATTTTTTAAAGAATATTTTTTCAAGGACCAAAGGACAAATAAACGTGGATTTTTAAAGAATATTTTTTCAAGGACCAAGAGACAAATTATGGTGGATTTTTAAAGAATATTTTTTTAAGGACCAAAGAACAAATAAACTTAGATTTTTTAAAGAATATTTTTTCAAGGACAAATAAACGTGGATTTTTAAAGAATATTTTTTCAAGGACCAAGAGACAAATTATGGTGGATTTTTAAAGAATATTTTTTCAAGGACCAAGAGACAAATTATGGTTGATTTTTAAAGAATATTTTTTCAAGGACCAAAGAACAAATAAACTTAGATTTTTTAAAGAATATTTTTTCAAGGACCAAAGGACAAATAAACCTAGATTTTTTAAAAAATATTTTTTCAAGGACCAGAAAAGAACGAGAAATGTTTCAAAGAATATTTTATCAAAGACCAAAAGGAACAACAATTTTTTATAGAAAGGGTGAAACGGAACGCGAAATTTTGAAAAATATTTCTGCGCAGACCAGAAGGAACGTGGATTTTTCGAAGAATATATTTTCAAGGACGAAAAAGAACGTGGATTTTAGAAAAATATTTCTACGCAGACCAGAATGAACGTGAATTTTTCAAAAAAAAATTCAAGGGCGAAACGGAACGCGAAATTTTGAAAAATATTTCTGCGCAGACCAGAAGCAACGTGGATTATTCAAAGAATATATTTTCAAGGACTAAAAGTGACGTGGATTATTCAAAGAATATTTTTTGAAGGACCAAAAGTAACGTGGATTATTCAAAGAATATATTTTCAAGGACGAAAAGTGACGTGGATTATTCAAAGAATATTTTTTCAAGGACGAAAAGTGACGTGGATTATTCAAAGAATATTTTTTCAAGGACCAAAAGTAACGTGGATTATTCAAAGAATATTTTTTGAAGGACCAAAAGTAATGTGGATTATTGACAGAATATTTTTCAAGGACCAAAAGTAACGTGGATTATTCAAAAAATATTTTTTCAAGGACCAATAGTAACGTGGATTATTCAAAGAATATTTTTTCAAGGACCAATAGTAACGTGGATTATTCAAAGAATATTTTTTCAAGGACCAAAAGTAACGCGTATTTTAGAAAATATATTTTTTCTTTTTTTGAATGATTATTCTTAAACTATTCAAGGACAATTTTTGGATGTTTTTTTTTTATACATTTAATTGGGCCAACAGTTCTGTAACACCTCGAAATATTGGTCCCCGACAAGGGAACTATAAATGGATCGTCCTATCTCGCCAAACTGAGTCTATCTAGCTATGTATGTCCGTCCTTCCGTCAATGTCCATGTTATTTTGTAATCACGCTACAGGTCGCAATTATGGCCCGTTCCTCAAAAATATTAAAATGAGGTGTGGAAGGTCCAACAACAGAAAAATGTTACTGCTTTTTCCGTCGCTCTACAGGTCTCAATTATGAATCAATCGACGCGGAATTTTGCATGGAGTTAGTGTTTAGAGCTGGACTGGAGCCTACCAATTTCGGCGGTCATCGAACAATGTTTAGCGGGTAAAATAAACTATAACTTTTATGTCAAAAATACGAAAATTTTTACTTAACCGCGAATATTTTTAATCCCGGCCAAATCACAGATACATCAGAGGGTCACTTCTGATCATTACAGTGATGCTGATATGGGATATATAGCGAAATAGGTACAATATATATGTAAAAGAAATATATCTTAGTTATTCCGCTTTAAAGTCAAGAACTGCACTAATATTCACAATTCTCGCCAATTCGGAATGGCCCAGAAAAGAAAAAAATCTAAGAATATCGCGTAAAAATATGACAATAAAAGAGTGAAGTTTTTGTTCATTTTTTTTAAATTTTTGTCAAATTTTTTTATCGCATGTAATTTTTTCAATTTGACTTAAAACTTTGAATTGTACATTTTGTAAAGTTGTTCTACACCCCGCAACACTATGTTTTTATGTTATTATATACAGGCCACAATTCTCACGAAATTTTGGGGATAGGGTTAGAGACACAATTAAAGCCTTTTGTTTTGGAAGATGTAAAAAAATAGTAATAATAAAATAACATTTTGAATGAAATTTGATGAGCATTTCTACATGTCACAATTGAAAACCAATCGACACGGATCTTTGCGTAAGGTGAGAGTAAGGACAGGCAGAAGTATAGCATTTTGGATGAACATTGGATTATATTTAGCATGTAAAATGCACCAAAACTTTTGTGTGTAATCGTTTTGAATACCTATCAGCACGACAGAGAGCGTAAATATTGGGCAAATGCCCCCCGGTAAAAAAGCTAAGGGTAACATCTTGCCAGGGCTCTATGATATCATTTCAACAACGAAATCTTCAAAAATAGATTTGGAATAAGGTGACTTCTAGTGTTGTAGGGTATCACATGGTTGGCCTCGCACGTCTATAGCCTTTGCTTACTTATTATGTATATATTTTAAGAACTATTCGCTGATTTTTAGGGAATATTTTATGAAAATTTTCAAAGCTGAAAATCATGGACTTTTTTAGAATATTTTGAAGGATTACTTCAGAATTTAAAAATAAATTGGGAAAACAATTATTTTACTAAAGTTCTAGTCTTGTATTTTTTTAAAAAATATTTTAAATATTTAGGAAGAATTTCCAAGGACTACTCATGCTTTTTTTATTACTATCAAGGAGTATTCATGACATTTAATAATATATTTTCAAGGTCTGGTTTAAATTGGATATCCAAGGAACATTTGTAACAATTTTTTAAGATTATCTTCTCAAAGCAATAGTCATGATTTTTTAAGAACATTTTGAATACTTTTTCACTGTACGTTCCTATATTCGGTATTCTGACGATTTTAGCCACATTTTCACAATCAAAATTATTTCATATTTTCGTAAAAATTAAAGGAACTAATAATTGAGGATTGGTAAAGAACATTTTCATCATCCAATAAATTATCTTAAAAACAGCATCAAGCCGTCCCATAATACTATAGTTTTTTATATATTTGTGGAATACTTATTAATATTAGTACTTTTTGATTTTTCAAGAATACTTTTTACTTGGATTTAACAAAAAATAAATAAATATATAAATAAATTAATAAATGTTGCAACAATTTTCAAAGGATAATATACGAAAAATTTCGGATTTTCAGAATATTTGTGTGCCTGTATAATTTAAGTTTTTGGAAACAATTGTGTGGATTTTAATATCGTTTTCGTGGACCGAAAGCGTGAAACAACAGAGTTGTCTAAATTAAAAAAAAAAAAAAAATAAATATTTTAGAGATTTTCTTGCAAGGACTAAGGTTCTAATTAGAGTGGATTTTCACGACATTTTTCAGGAAAGAGAGAGCGTATGTTTTTAATACGCTTGGAATTTATATGAGTTTTTCACCCAGTAAGCGGGGATGGATGAAATTCTCAAAAAAAAAAAAAATAATAATAATAATAATAAAATAAAATAAAAAATATGATGAACAGGCCCCTGGAGTTTTGTAAAATATGTCTCAGGAATCATAGATCAATAAGCGTTGAGGTTTGAATAAAGGAACAAAAGAATGGTTCTTTAAAGAAACCTTATATTTTTAAATTAGTTTTATGGAGCAAAATCGAGGAAGAACACTTTTTCGAGGACCAAACGGAATAATATCGCAAAAATGTTGAAATATTTAGGATTTTTTTATGATGGTACTTTTTCTAATTTTATTAATGGACAGGAAGTATGATTGGTTATCAAAAATTAACCGCAAAATATGCAAGGGTTTACTTTTTTTTCAATATCACAAAGAGCATTTTTTTTAAAGATCAAGATGGTTTTCAGTGACAAAAGATTAATTTTGCTTTTTTTAGTATTCAAATATTCCAAATCCATGATTGTTTTAAAGGACCAACAGACTATGGATTTTTTGTTTTTTGGATATTTTTGATTTTTTAAGGCCAGTCAGATTGGATATCTTTTTCCAAAGACCAAAAGATTCAAGATTTTTTAATGGTAATTCTCCGTCGATTTTTTAAATATTTTTTGCAGAATTTTTAGGGACCAAAAAACTGGAATTTTCATTACGCTTTGGATGGACTACGAATTTTTTAAGATTTCTGTTATACCAAAATTTTAATGTTTTGTACATTTTTCAAATACCAGCAGAATAATAATCCTTTTTAATTGTTGTGATTTCTGCACCATTATCCTACTTTTTATTTGGCTAAGAGTCAATTTGTTGGAAAACTATTGAAATACTTCATTGTTTTCTTTACTTTGACAGTCAGTCAACCAATCAGCCAGTCAGTCAATGAATTTCCCCGGGGGCTTTCTCTATCAGCATTTCTTTTTTGCAAAAAGGTCCTTTTGTTTTCGCCTTTGTTCCCGCTGATGACTAATTAAAGTTGCAATGGCAACTGCAATTTGTTAATTAATGAGATCGAATGGCGAATAACGAATAGACCGAGAGAGAACAATGACAATACAAATATTCACAATAATGAAGATATTTTCCAATGTAAAAGGGATATCCAATTTATACTAAATTAATGACTGAAGTGTTGAAAACTTGAACAAAGGAAGGTTGGTTGGTGAAATGGGGGAAACAATTTTGTGTAGAGTCATTTGGTTAATGTTGTTGCGGTATTTGAAAATGATTCATTAGAATAAATGGAAGTGAAAAGAAATGAATGGACAGCTGAAACAGTATCGTAGAGAGGGGGTGGATCGGAAGAAGGTATGGGTTAATATTGGAAATCAAAAGATTGGCGGATTATGAGAGGATAGACTCTATGGGCTCGTTGATAGGGGTTCGTTGTCGCAAAGACTACAAGCTGAACGAGTTTCAGCGTAATAAGGCAGGAGTTTCGATATCCTGGGTTCAGGAAGGTCGTAGAACTAAGCTAAACTAAAAGATAAGTAAAGCACAGGACCAAGCTAGTTACAGGAGTGAGCAAGACCTAGATCTAAGGGTGTTCGTTATGATCGGGGTGATATTTTGTCGTTAGTCCAGATTTACTCCAGACAATTATAAAGGGTGAGATAAAATACTGCAACAAAGTCAAACCCCACAAGTTTTAATTTTTTTTGAACGAAAACAAAAAAGAACGGCCCTTGTAAGCCATCATCCCACACCAAATATGCCTGATGAGCCGCTTAACCAACGGCGAAACGCGTCGCATAGTGGTGAGTGTGTGATAGTGTCTATCTGGCTTTCCTTTTCACTGCAAATTTCAGATCATTAAGCTCGTCTCGAAAGAGAAAAAACAAACACATAAATCAGAAAACAAAAAATGTCGGAAAAAGAATCAAATTTTAGAATAAGTTTAAATTTGTTCGAATTGCTCACATTTGGCACGAATTATGGCCTTCAAACAGCATATGAAACCGTCACACGCTGCCCGAATGTTGCTCTGCGGTATTTTGGCTCATTCCCGGCGAAGCGCTTGCTTGAGGTGATCGACACTTTAGTATTTTTTAGTGCCAACCTTGCTTTTTAAAATACTCCAGGCACAATTGTCCAGCGGTTTGGTATCTGAGATTGGGCACTGGAAATGAAGCGAGGAACCTCATTTTGTAATCATTGTTGGGCGGCGCGTGCTGAGTGCGATGGTGCTGCGTTCTGTTGAAATGTCTAAGGTCTGCGGCCAAAATGTTTGCGTGCCCAAGGCATTAATACACCCTCCAGAATATTTTGGCGATAATATTCGGCATTTATTCTGATGTCACGTTCGATTAATACGAGTGGAGAGCGACCGTCGGCTGTTATGGCGGCCCACACCATCAGCATAACCGGCGCTTGAGTTCTGGTGGCCGACCGAAGGTGTACATTTTCAGCTGACCTCTTTGGCAAGTAAACTTGATAATTTTGTTTGTTTACAAACCGCTGGACAACGAATATTTTCTCATCGGAGAAAACCAAATTCGGCAGTTCACCACTTTCGGCCAAGCGAAGCAACTCTTTAGCTCTTTTGAATCTATTTTTTTGTGTTCCTGCACTTTTTAGAATTTAAATGGCTTTACCCCAAGCTCATTTTTCAATAGTTGCCGAATGGAATATTGCGATATGTTCAGGTCACAAGCCATTTTTCGGCCACTGCGACGCTGGTTTTGGTCAAGTCGCTGTTTTACTTTTCGAACCATATCTGCAGAATTAGCTGTTTTCTTCCGTCTACTTCCTTGACGTCGGGCTACGCTACCAGTATTACGGTAACGAGCGGTGGGATGAGTTACAAAAGATTTATTCACATTTAAATGCTGGAGTGCTCTAAAGATAGCCACTTGTGGTTTTCCAGCCAAATATAAAGAAATCACACTATCACCCTGGAACTTCATCACGAATAACTTTTATTCTGGAAAATTCTCACCAAAATGCTTTTGTACGCTTGTAAACCATATAATGAGCTGTCACTGGAATAATTTTAACAGCTGTCGGACGAGTGGCTTAGAAACGACAGCAGTCTGAAGTTGGTTGCATTTTTTTTCATCTCACCCTATAAATGCGGTCATTTAGATTCTGTTTTTGAGAGACGCTATTGAGATGTGATTGTCAATTTCGGTATTAATTATTGGCTAGTGCCTTTCAGGAATAAAATACCAAAATTTTGTCAACTTCTATTAAAGCTACTTCTCTTTTTGAAGCGATTGAGAATTATATGCTCCCATTTGAGAAAAAAAATATTGAAAATATTTCAGAGTTTGATATTTCAATATTTTTTATTTAATTAAAACTATTGAGTAATTTAATATATAATTCATTTATTTTTTCTATTTGTGCCATTTTTCCAGGTGCCCGCAAAGGACGTGCCTAATTTCCTTTCTCAAGTCTCAACTTCCAACAAGAAGACTCCCAGCGACATTTATCTCTAACAAACACCTATGAGAGCGCAAGTAAATCGAATCGAAACCAAATTGAATAACAAAACAAAACAAAAAAACATACTTAAACTTTAAAATATAAGTCTACAATTATTACAAAACAAAATAAAAAGTAAAGAATGAATGAATGAAACCAACCAACCATCCCCTCCCCTTAAGAGACAACTACCAGTAAAACAAAAATACAAAAGAAAAAACAATTTATTAATTAAATTTAAGCAAAGAATATTAAGACGAAATGGATAACCTTCAATATACTTCCTCCTTCCCCCTCCACATTGAAATTAAATACAAGAAGAAGAATTTTAAATCGACAAAACAAAACAAAAAGTAAAGAAAGAAATAAATAAAATAGTTGGATGTAATAAATACCCGATGAAAACTGAGAAGATATACCAAAGGAAAACACGGAAATTGATGAAACATAAAAAAAAACACTGCAAGTTAATTTCCCCCATTTTAAAGTCCAGCGAAGAAATTAAAAGATATTTTAAAATTTTTAGTTTTTATTTAAAACCAAAACAACAACATATAACATTAAACTTTACCTTAACAACATAAAATATATGTATTTTTAAACTCAAAATATAAAACAAAGAAAGAGAACAACATTTATTTTTAAAAAAATTAATTGTTGTCTTAGGGCCGGCTTCTGTATGGCACGCGAAGGTGAATGAAAAAAAATATAATTTTAAAAATTTTTCAAATTTTAGATTAATTTGAAAAACAAATTTCGGATGGTGAAAAAAAATATAATTTTAAAGATTTTTCAAATTTAACATATATTATGAAAAACAAGTTTGGTATGGTTTTCCCTTTTGTCCTCATTTTTGGTATTGCCATACAAAATTGGGCCCTAAGACAATATATTTTAAAAAATTCCCTGCTATGTAATTTATGAGTAAAACAACACTCTTCAATTTAAAAACATTCACTACATCAGAGATTGAATTGCCAATTAACTTCTAAATGTTTCTTGAATGAGACTATTGACAATCTTTTCAATTTTTTTAATATGCAATATTTCATCCGCAACAAATTCAATAACTAATCAATGGGTATTTTTGTTATGATCTCCATAAAAAAGAAGTTACCCTTCGATATGCCAGGAGATAAGTTCTGGAAATACAAACAAAATACTAATAAATTTGTAAATCGAGAAGCATTTTTGTTCAAATCCCCTAAATGCAACTTCGAAGAGTGTCCAACAAGTTTTTTTTTTCAGAGACATAAACTTACCCTTTATGAAAAGTAATTTCAAACCGTAAATCATAATCTCTCTCTCTCTCTCTCGTATAAAACAAGGCCTGGCAGAGAGTCGCTCGCTTGTGTTCTCCCACTGTTGTTACTCTCTCATTACTTTTCTTTAATGCTTCTGATTGTGTGAGTGGAGAGTATTGCGCTCACGCATTTGATTAGCTCTAGTAAAGCAAATCAATTGATGAGCTGTTCGTATGCAAATGTGTGAAAAGTTTGTCCCTTATCTTTAACATTGGGTCATGTACGCAGTAGGTGGTAGGTAACTAATCCTGAAGGTCCTAGAGAAATTGTTCACCCAAAAGAGAGACTACAGAAAGTGTACAATCTTATGGAAACAGTAGAAATCTATCAAATGGGGTTCCAAGTGAGCCACTCTTAAAGGAAGTACTGGACATGATTGTCTGTTCTATTTAAAGACGGCCTTCAGAAGATTTATTGATGGAGGATTTGAAATGCGATTCTTTCGATAGTTTTTATATATATATATATATGTGTATATAAAAAAACTGTAAAGGGGTTTCTATATATAACAGACCTGAGAAGAGTATTAGAGCAGAAAAATGTGTCCTCATAGAATACATGTTGAGGTCTTCTATGGAAGCCACTCTATCAATGAAAGTTCTAGATAAGATTTATAGACGATCTTCCTACAGAAGAGTTTAATACCTCTTCTGATCTGATCTGAAAAAGTATTCTACCCACAGAGAATTTATAGTACTCCTTCTATAAATCTATAAAGGGTCTGATGCATTTAGAAGACTTGGAAAGTGTCTTCAGTCAGACCCGCAAATGGACATATTGGAGCTCGAAAAGGTCTTTGCTCCTCAGAAATCTTCAAAAAAAAGGCTTCTCCAGATACTTCAGATCTGTAAAAGGTCCTCTATCCACAAAAGTCTTAAGAAAGTATTTTACTTTTAGAAGGTAGATAAAATATCTTGTTAGAGCTCCGTTGCCCATAATAGACCTAAAAGGACTCATCCATCCATGGAAGAACAGTAAGAAGTCTACCAAAGAAACATGCGGAAGGGGTTTCTTTTACCAAAATGTATTTAAACGATGCTCCATTAAGGTCCTTTAAAATGCCGTTGCGGAGAATTGTGAAAGATATTCTGTCCCTAGAAGACCTGTAAACCAGACCAATAAAATACCTTCATAAGTTCATTTGTCCGTAAAAAGGCTTCTACCCTCTACGAATAGTCGATGTTTGCAATCTCTTTTGCCAATATAGGGCCAATGACAGTTCTACTGACTATAGGGCTCACATAGGAGGTCTTTATTCGGAAATTACTAAGAAATGGCTGAAAGTCGGTTCATCAATTGAAGAGCTCTTATCAATGAAACTTACTTAGAAGGTCTTCTCTGAACCGATGGTCTCTGTACGACATTTTCCCCATTGATGGGCTTTAGAAAATTTGAAAAACTCCGGAAATGGTGTAAGAGGTTCTTTTACAAGGAGATCCCGTGCCGTATAGGTATCATCTTAGATTTCCATGTTCCTTGCTAATAGGCTCTAAATCCTTTACCTTATACCCTCAAAATTGGATACATGTCGGGCCCTCTTCGTCTTTGAAGAGCCATCAAGCTGTATATTGTCATTGTCGATGTCATATACACTGTAAAAGAGATAGTTTCACAATTTGTGGAAACTTCTCGGAAATAGAGGAATCGATTTTTTAGAAAATAGAATCTATCCTGCACAGGAACATTTGATTCATCTACGTCAGAGATTCCAGGGTTTTCAGAGGACTTCGACTATATTAGGGACTATCAATGGGTAGAGGTTTCATAAGTTTTTCTCGGTAGGAATCAACTTAGGCTGATGTGATTTTAGTTGTGAATACCTAAACGGGTTCAAATTGGAGATCAGCTGAAGACTCGTTTGATTCTTGAAGATGGCTTTACCTACCCGGCTCGAACTGTTTTTTTTATTTTGGCTCCGCGAAGAATACATTAATGTCGTCCTTAGAATATCATGCATGAATTTCGGCAAACCTCGTTCATTCTGATTTTATTCGGTAGCCCTGTGGAAAATTTGGGGCGGTAGCTTTAGAAACTCACACATTCATCTCCGTCGGGATCTGTAGGATTTTAGAGAAATAGAATTTCATGAAGCGCTCCGCACTCCACCTTGGGCAACTAGACTCTTGCACGATGCCTCATTGAAAAAAACCCAAAAAGGGTTTGTGATTTTATCCTGTTACACTCCGTCGTGGCCAAAGGTGGGCCTCTTGTCTCTTGCTTTTAAGAGAACATCGATCAGATTTTGGTTTTGGCCAGTTGGAGTACGAGTTGTAAAAGAAGTTTACTCTCCTCTTTTTAGTTTGGGGTGGGAGCTCCCGCGAGAACTGCTATTTGAAAAATTAATGTGACATTCAAAATATTCAAAAAAGAGTGAAAGTTTAATCTAAGAGTGAAATCGAGTGTACTTTACGCCTGCTCATAAACGAGTAAGGTTTTTAAAGTTCTGCCATTCAGTTGAATGTTATTTGGCTTAAGTATCAGCTAAAAATTCGCTACCATTTTAGTCAAATCATTTCGTTTACCACTTTATATTTGAATCAATTTATTTTAATCCCTTTTCAGTTCCAAAACGAGATATACTTTAATTATCAAAAACAACGTATTTTACGTCTTTCAAACCAAATCTATAAACCACAAAGTTTTTAAATATTCAATAAAATACAAAAGGAAAAAACTCAATTGCATACTACAAAATAATAACAACAACAACCAAATACAAAAATAAACTACTTCTACTGAACAGAAAATGGATATAATTACAAAAAAATAATAAAAACAGTAAAACACACACAAGCCTAACATTGCTTGTGGCCCATAGACAACTTACCAATACAGACATAGACTATTTTCAATAACCCAACAACCCCAGAGAAATATAAATAGCTACAAACTTTGCCGAACAAAAACCAAAACTGTTCAAACTATAAAAACAACCAATTTCAAAATTCTTAATTAATCCCAAAAATTAAAAAAAAAACATAAACAAAATTCAAAGGAACTCCCATTCAAAATGAATTCAATTCTCATATATCTCTACACATACTCATCCACTCCCACTCATTTTACTCGAATAACAGACAGCTGAGAACTATAGAAAAAACAAAAACAAAACAGAAAACATTAAAAACATTCCCAACAATTATATTAAAAATATACAACAAACAAATAAAAAAAATAATGATAAATATAGTAATTTATTAATTACATTGAAAAAAAAAACAAATAAAACATAAAAAATTATAAAAAATTAAAAAAAAAAATTAACAAGGAGAAGAAGAAAACAAAAACAACAACTGATCAATTTACCCCCGAACAAAACACAACAAACAACAACAACATGCAAATAAAGACATGACAATTAATGACAGTGAACATCATAACAAAAACCCCAAAAATTAATTATATAATTATTATTATTGATTTATGTAAGATCCAAAATTAAACATTCATTGAACAAATCAAACAAAATAAAAATTAACAAAAAAAAAAATTAAATGAGAAAAAAAAACAAAAGCAAAACTTGAAAACCATAAACCACAACAACAAATAAACATTTTCTTATAAATTTATAAGTTTTAAGGTATATTGAGATAAACAACAAAAACATGACGAGTAAGAAACCAAAAAAATAACAAAAAAACAACAAAAAACAACAAAAGAAAATTCCAACAAGAAAAAAATATATAATTATTATTAGTTGTATCCTTAAACTGATCAATAAAAATTACAAAAGTTTAAAACAAAACCAAAAAACACCTCACATTGTTTTATTTAAAAAAAAAATAATATTAATATTCCATTTTCAGGGGATTTAAGATAACCTGCAGAAAAACTCATTTTTATACGTTTCACCATACTATGGAGGGTATATTAACTTTGTCATTCCGTTTGTAACTCCTCGAAATACTCATGTCAGACCCAACAAAGTATATGTATTCTTGATCAGCGTAAAATTCGATTTAGCTATGTCCGTCTGTCTGTCCGGCTGTCTGTCTGTCTGTCCATCTGTCTGTTGTAATCACGATAGGTTTCATATAGCCCCCATATAACGGTACCTCCCGATATTCGGTATTTTGATGATTTTAGCGACATTATTCACCGGAATTGTTTCAAATTTGGAATTGCAGTTCGAAATGGATACTACAGCCTAAGACAGAAAATTATCTGTGCAGGTCTCCGTCTTCTAATAGCCCTCATATAACGGTACCTCCCTATATTCGGTATTTTGATGATTTTAGCGACGTTATTCACCGGAATTGTTTCAAATTTGGTATTTGAATTTTGTAATATGAACTACATTCTGTGACAGAAAATTGTCTTTGCAGGTCCAGGTCTTCGTATAGGCCCCATATATCAGTACCTCCCTATATTCGGTATTTTGACGAGTTTAGGTACAAAACCCACCGAAATTGTTTGCGATGTCGTATTTGAAGTTCGTAATGGATGCTACAGCGTGTGACAAAAAATTTTCTTTGTTGGCCCAGGTCTTCGCACAGCTCCGATATAACGGTACCTCCCTATATACGATGTTCTACATTATTCATCGTTTATTTCAAGTTTCGAATTTGAATATGGTAATGCCTTATGACAAACAATGCCACGTCGTATAGACCCCAATTTTTAAAATTTTAACAGAATTGTTTAAGGATTTTATTTTTTGAAAATTTTCAAATTCGTGCAAAATGGTGGAGAGTATTAAAAGTTCGGCCCGGCCAAGCTTACTGCTTTTTAACTTGTTAAAGTTGGAATCTTGAAATTTGGCACAAAGGTGAAAGCAGGTGCTGGGGATGAGAAAAGGAAGTGTTTTCAAGTTTTGTACTTCAAGAGTAAGATGTACGGGGCCGACCATGTGATACCCAACAAAATCATGATAATTGTAATTTGTTGTCCAATTGAACCCTGAAATGTACATCTTTAAAAACAAAATGCTCTAATTCTGACCGTAACAGTCTTATATGCAAAATTTCGTGAGGGTAGGACGATAATTGTGACTTATATATAATACCCTAAAAATATGGTGTTGCGGGGTGTAGAAAAACTTCAAAAAAGGTGCAATTCAAAATTGCAAATCAAATTAAAAAAAATCGCATAAATAAATCGATAAAAAAAATTTTAAAAAAATAACAACAAATATTCACTTCCTTATTGTCACATTTTTATGCGATTTTCTTAGCTTTGATACTTTTCTGGCAAGAGACCAATCCGAATTGATGAGCAGCAGTTCTTGATATATAAGCAGAATAACTATTTCTTTATACCCTACAACACTATATGTTGGGGGTATTATTAGTTTGATTGGGCCAAAAATTATGTAACACCTCGAAATATTGATTTCCCACATAGGAAAGTATATATGGATCTTCCTATCTCGCCGAGCTGAGTCGATCTAGCTATGTATGTTCGTCCGTCCGTCTGTCCGTCTGTCCATGTTAATTTGTAATCACTCTACAGGTCGCAATTATGGCCCGATCTTCAAGAAATTCAGAATGGAGGTTGGGATAAGGTCAGAATAGAACCCTATTTCTTTTGGAGATGATCGCACAATATTTAGAGGTCGAAATGGACCAAAAACTGAAAAAATCCTGATTTTGCAGTTGCTCTACAGGTCGCAATTATGGACCAATCGACGCGGAAAGTAGCATGGGACTAAAGCTTCGGGCTGGGCAGAAGCCTTCCGATTTTGATGGTCATCGGGTAATATTTAGTGGTTGAAGAAGACTATAACATTTGTGTTAAATAAAAGTCAAATTTCCATTATACCGCTAATATTTTTAGTCCCGGCGAAATCATAAATAGACGAACAGGTCAATTCTGACCGTTACGTAGATGCCGATAGTAAATATATCGGATATATATAGCGAAATATATACAATGTGTATATACAAAGGAAAGGAATGTTAGATGGAATGCTTATATCTCAAGAATGGCTGGACTGATTTTGACAAATTTTGCCAATTCAGAACGCTCTCTTGACATAAAAAAGTAAAATCTAAAATAATCGCATAAAAATAAGTCAAAAATATAGATTTTGTTGTATTTTGTGACATTTTTTTATTTTTTCATATTTTTTATCTCATGCGATTTTTTCATTTTGACTTATAATATTAAGGTATACATTTTGTAATATTTTTCCACCTTACAACACAGGTTTGAGATATTGTATACAGATTGCAATTATCGTCCGATCCTCACGAAAAGGGCAGGGTTAGGCTCAGAAGGGCTAGGCCTATTGTTTTCAAAGATGTCCGCAATATATTTAGGGGTTGAAGTGGACCAACAACTAAAAATGTTCCTGATTTTGCAGCCGTTATAAAGGTCATAAAGAAACCAAAGGACACGAAATCTCGCATGAAGTTAGAGTTTAGGATAGCAGGTAGAATGGACCACTACTTTTGTCTGAAAAATACCAACATTACTTACAGGCGATAGCCGAAATACACAAAATGCGAACTTCTGCCTTTTTTGCTGATTTCGTTGACGAATATGGCCAAATATCGTAGACAAGAAGATCGTATAGAAGAGTCTAAATTTGGAGATACAGAGGGACCTCTTGCTTTTGGAGATGATCGCAAAATACGACGGAGTGCGTAAATATTGGGCAAATGTCCCTGGTCAAAATGATAAGGGTAATATCTGGGCAGTGCTCCGTCACATAATGTCAAGAGAGAAATCTTCCAAAATGGATTTGGACATAAGGGGGCTTCTAACATATTGTAGTGTTGTAGGGTATCACAGGGTCGGCCCCGCACGACTATAGCCTTTGCTTACTTGTTTAAATATATATTTTACATATTTTGGTATATATCCCATATCTTGGGTATCAGCTATCAGATGAGGTCTTTTAATGTATTTTTGATTTCGCCGGGATTAAGAATATTCGCATTTGCGATCATCTCCTAAAACAATAGGCTTCTATTCTGATCCTAACCCACCTCCATTTTTATTTCGTGGGGATCGGGCAATAATTGAAACTTGTAGCTCGATTAAAAATTAACATCGACAGACGGACGGGCGGACACACATAGCTAGATCGACTCAGTTCGGCGAAATAGGAAGATCCATATATATTTTCCTATGTAGTAAGATTAGTAATAGCTGCCACTTTGAAATTTACATTAACATTGACCTTTAGGACAAGGGTGGTATTTATTCTAAAACTTGTACATTTACGAGAAGTCCTAAAAATTGAAGTATTTTTTAAGCGGTCATTAGAACTTAACACTTTAACATTTGCATGATCATACTTGCTATGAAAATCCTAGATTTTTAGAATTCTTTCTTTTGGGGTAGGAAAAGAACCTAAAAGAACAAATTGATACAACCTAGTCATTATACGATCAGAATAAGCAATAACTTTAAGGTTTTTCAATGGATGAGATAAGGAGGGGTTTTTTGGAAATTCCCACTTTAATTGTACTAAAAGGTACATTATAGCTATTGTACAAAATACTTTGTACATACTTTTGAGTGCGGTTAAGGCGCTGGGAAAAACTAGCAATAAACAATCAATATTCAAAAATTACATATTTCCCAGCCGCCATAAAATACCACATGTGAACAATTCGGTGATCTTGTGCGCTGACGCATACGATAATGTGTTAGATAATAAAGGTTATGACCCACACGCACAGATATCGATGCGCTCAGTAGATGCACAAGATCACTTGAATGAGAAGTCAAACAGCCCTGCAATGTTCTCCATGCAATATTTGAATAGATAAGAACAATTGTGTGGCTGCGACTAGGTTAAGTTAGATTAGTTTCAGTAGTACGTAAGGAACATGTATTTTAAATAAAAACAGAATTGAAATAACACCCAAACCATTCGGTCGTGTTTCTTTTCTCACCAAAAACAGAATAGAGTTGACAATCGAAGGGGGAGATTGGACTCTATTCTACTCTACAT